CTCGCGCCCCGATCGTAGCTGAAGTTTGCGACTTTCAACGTCCGAACACTTATGCAAGTTGGGGCCCGGGCAGCACTCGCTCGCACACTGGAAACGTTTTCCATGGGGGTTTGCTGCCTTATTTACACGCCTACAGGATTCGTGCACCATACTGCAACCCGCTTCACCGTCTTCGAATTCTGCAATCTCGTTCACCCTCCGCTTCTCCGGAGATTTGATATATATATATATATATATATATATATAATACCGGCTTTCGGACAAGCATGGTGCCAACGCCAAAACAATAATAACGATAATACAGGAGGGGAGGTTGGGATACAGAACATAGGAAAAAGATGGAACTGATATCAGGCCGACTTGAGGATAGCACTAAGTGCACGTGCAGCGACAGTTTTACTCGACTGGATTTCAGTCAAACGTCGACTCTGCGCCATCCGTCTAAAATGATCGATAATTGCATTTCGTAATGGGACTAAAAAGCTCTGTCTGTTCGTCATCGTTGCCTTTGCGCCCACGGACCGCAGTCCCGATTTGAAAAGACGAGTTCTACCATCAGCTCACCAACCTCCACAGTAAACGACACACTGACATCGTGATCCCAGCCGCCGACTTTAACGCACAAGTAGGTAGGTTAAACACTGACGAAACCCCACTTGGTGGCCAGCATAGTCTCGGTGTTAAGAGCACTGACAACGGCGACGGTCTCTTGCAAATCCGCAAATCTGTTTCGGCTCTTCTGTGGAATTTACCCCTTATGGTGACTGACATAGATTACAATCGCAAATGATTACATCACCGGTAATTCGATATAACGGAGTTAATGGTGACAAAAGATTCCTTTTGTTTGTTACTTACCTTTCCTCTTAGCAACATTCGCTGTCTTTCGCTCTCTCGGTAATTTTAGAACGTTCCTCCAATGACTATCTGCTTTACGAAGCTGGTCGTTGCCTTTCACATGCAGTAGTTCGCGAATGGAACACAGTGTTTGCTGAGTCCGTGGACAACCTAGACGACTCGAAGGCTGTGCAATTGTTGCAGTTCATCTTGGACTGGGCTAATCGTCGCAGCAAAGAGGTAGGTACGCACGTCTTAAGCAGACACATTGCACAAGTTGATTTGGCTTTCGTGTGTTTGTTTCTATACCACCACTTGAGTTGTCTTCTATCTCGTTAAATAGTTGAGAACTGACTGAGGGTGGCGAAAAAATCCTGTGTGACCAGTAGAGTAATATATGTATATATGAAAAAAGAATAAGATCCATTAGTTGTTTGTGTGAATTTTCTTGAGGAATTACCTATCGGAGCCTTCGCCTTTCCAAAGCCTGGGTCACAAGGCAGCTAGGCGGTGTATGAAAACCGCAGTCCATTAAGGGTCAGTGTCCATTTTATCGGTTCTTAAATCTTGTGAACGGGGTCAAATGGTTTTCAAACACCATCCCGCTTCCTTTCGAATCAGCCTTTAGCTAACCGTTTTTTCCGATTGTGACGCCCCCCATTTGCTTTTCCTGGGTGACCTGCCCGTATTCCGCCAACGAGCACTTTACTAATCGATTGCTTTCTATAACCGTTGTCGTGTCGTGATCAGTTTTTTTGCAGTCTGAACTCGAACAGCTGTGGAATGTAATATCACACGTTTTCCTAGGCTTTTAAGTTACTTTAAATTACTTCTTGTCACCCATTTTGTCTACGTAACGTCTTCCTTTCGTGTTTATCTTAACACTTAATCCCATCTCTGTATCCAAGTGTTGTGTTTGGTATTGTAACCGGTAACATGTTCCGTTTCTTGTTTACTCGTGCATACTTCAGGTTTCATCCGCTGCGAGACAACGCATTTTGGGCGCTGTTGGCGCATTGATCAAACGGGCTGCTGCTGCACATGCAGAGAAAGTGGCATCGGCCTGGCGTTCCTCTTTCACTCTTAGTCGCAGTGGGGACTCCGGACGGTTGGGTCAGAGTGGACCCCGCATTCTCACCCATCCACCCGATGATCCGGGTCCGCCTTGTCCCATCTTGGTTCGCCTCATCGATCACGTGGAAGCTCTCATTCAACTGGCCATGAGTGAAACGGACGGAATATCCAACGAAGTATGTTATTTTTTATGTGCTCGGGTACCGTTAGTGGAATTTTCCTAGTCCACTTAGAAAATTTTACGATGCTGACGAGTCAAGGCTTTACAGGTAAAAATCGCCAAATCTGAATCACAATGAGGGTAGAGGTAAATACATTCGATACATACTCGGGCAATGTCTCACTGAGGAGGAATTATTGAATGTCATTCAAACTGTAAACAAAGCACGCAAAGTAGCCAGGAAAAGGTCGCTCAAAAAAAAACGGTTCCGAATATAACGACTATCGTTGGAATCCAAATTTAGTACTTTATCACCGAGCTTAAGGAATCACAAAAACAACCATCGACTCGATTACTAGCTTACTTCGCAGCGTCTGGACGGATGAGTGTATCCCTTTGTCCTGGGGTGAGTCGACGATCGTCCCTATTTTCAAGAAGGGATCACGCGACGACTGCGCTAACCACCGTGGGATTAGTTTAGTTCCGATAATCACAAAAGTGTTGACTTCTGTGATACTTCGCCGCCTGACACCCTTACGGGAGAGGAATATCCGCGAACAACAAGCCGGATTCCGACCAGGTCGCGAGTGCATCGACCAAATCTTCACTCTGCGTCAAGTCCTCGAACTGCGTCACACCCATCGTCGGCCAACAATCGCAATGTTCCTTGACCTTAAAGGAGCCTTCGATTCAGTTGACCGTGAAGCTCTTCTGGGGTCGCTGCTCCACAAAGGAATTCCGCGGAAGTAAGTAAGCCTG